TCCTTCCCTCTCTGCCCTTTCCTCACTCACAGACTCTCTGTCTCTCTCTCTCAAAAATTAGAAGAAGAAGAAGAAGAAGAAGAAGAAGAAGAAGAAGAAGAAGAAGAATGGGTTCAAAATTAAATGAACATCGACTTAAGATGAACTGCTATATGCAGAAGAGGTTATATACAAACCTAATGGTAACCATATGTCAAAACCTACTAATAAATATGCAAAGAATAAAGAGAATTCCAAATACATCACTAAAGAAAACCAGCAAGTCTCAACCATGAAAGACAAAAAAGGATCAGAGAAAATCTTCAGAGACAACCACAAAACAATAAAATGGCAATAAATACATATCTATCAATTAATTACTTTGAATGTAAATGGACTAAACTCTTCAATCAAAATACAGAGGGTGACAGAATAGATTAAAAAAAAAAAAAAACAAGACCCATCTATATTCTGCCTACAGGAGGCTCATTTTAGACCTAAAGACACCTGCTAATTGAAAGTGAGGAGATGGAGAAACATTTATCATATAAATGGAGGTCAAAATAAAGCTGGAGTAGCCACACTTATATAGGACAAACTAGATTTAAAAACAAAGATTGTAGCAGGAGGCAAAGAAGGACACAATATAATAATAAAGGGGACAATCCAACAAGAAGATATAACAACTGTAAACACACACCCAACAGAGAAGCACCCAAATATATAAACACAAAGAAACTAATTTGTTAATAACAAACACAAAGAAACTAATTTATAAAAATACAATAATAGTAAAGGGCTTAAACACCCCACTTACAACAATGGACAGATCATCTAAGCAGAAAATCAACAAGGAACAGTGGCTTTGAATGACACGCTGGACTTAACAGCTATATTCAGAACATTCCATTCTAAAGCAGCAGAATACACATTCTTTTCAAGGACACCTGGAACATTCTACAGAATAAATCATATATCAGGTCAAAATTAAGCCTCAACAAATCTAAAGAGACTGGAGTCATACCATGCACCTTTTCTGACCACAACACTATGAAACTTGAAGTCAACCACAAGAAAAACTCTGGAAAGAACACGAATACATGGAGGTTAGGGAACATCCTACTAAAGAATGAATGGGTCAACCAGAACATTAAATAAATTTTTAAAAAATACATAGAAACAAGTGAAAATGAAAACAAGTGGGTCCAAAACCTTTGGGATGCAGCAAAGGCAGTTCTAAGAAAGACGTCTATAGCAATACAGCTCTACCTCAAGAAGCAAGAAAAGACTCAAATATACAATCTAACCTTACACCTCAAGGATCTAAAAACGGAACAGCAAATAAAGCCTTAAAAGAAAAGAAGATGGGAAATAATAAAGATCAGAGCAGAAATTAATGATATAGAAACTAAAACAAACAAACAACAACAAAACAAACAGTAAAACATATCAATGAAACCAAGAGCTAGTTATTTGAAAAAAAAATCAATAAAATTTATAAACCTCTAGCCAGAATAATCAAGACAAAAAGAGAAAGGACACCCAAAAATAAAATTACAAATGAGAGAAAAGAAATAACAATAAACCCCACAGATATACAAATAATCATAAGAGAACATTATAAAAAACTATACACCAACAAATTAACAACCGAGAAGGATAAATTCCTAGAAACATATAACCTACCAAAACTGAAAAAGAAATAGAAAATTTGAACAGACCAATTACCAGCAAAGAATTTGAATCCATAATCAAGAAAATCCCAACAACAAAAAAATGTCCAGGACCAGATGGCTTCACAGGGGAATTCTATCAAACATCTAAAGGAGAGTTAGTACCTATTCTTCTCAAACTATTCCAAAAACTAGTAAAGGAAGAAAAACTTCCAAATTCATTTTATGAGGCCAGCATTACCCTGATACCAAAACCACATAAAGAAATCACACACACACACACACACACACACACACACACACACACACACAGAACTACAGGCCAATGTCCCTGATTAACACAGATGCAAAATCCTCAACAAAATATTAGCAAACTGAATCCAACAATACTTTAAAAAGACTTATTCACCACAATCAATTGGGATTTATTCAATATAAAGAATGGTTCAATATTTGCAAAGCAATTGATGTGATATACCACATTAATAAAAGCAGGATAAGAACCATATGATCATTTCAATAGATGCAGAAAAAACATTTGACAAAGTACAACATCCATTCATGATAAAAAAAAACCTCAACAAAGTAGATTTAGAGGAAACATACCTCAATAAAACAAAGGCAATATATAAAAACCTCACAGCTAACATCATCCTGACAGCCTTTCCCCTAAGGTCTGAAACAAGACAGGGATGTCCACTCCCACCACTGTATTCAACATAGTACTAGAAGTCTTAGCAACAGACAGCAACAACAAAGGCATCCAAGTGAGTAAGAAGAAAGTCAAACTTTCACCGTTTGCAGATGACATGATACTATAAATAAGAAACCCGAAACACTCTACCAAAAAACTGCTAGAGCTGATAAATAAATTCAGTAAAGTCACAGGATACAAAATCAATGTACAGAAATCTGTTGCATTTCTACACACCGATAATGAAGAAGTCGACAGAGAAATTAAGAAAAAAATCCCATTTACAATTGAACCAAAAATAATAAGATACCTAAGAATAAACCTAACCAAAGAGGTAAAGATCTGCACTCTGAAAACTACAGAACACTGATGAAAGGAACTGAAGAGGACACAAAGAAATGGAAAGAGATTCCATGCTCATGGATTGAAAAACCAAATATTGTTAGTGTCTATACTACCCAAAACAATCTACACATGTAATGAAATCCTTATCAGAATACCAACAGCATTTTTCACAGAACTAGAACAAACAGTCCTAAAATTTGTATGGAACCACAAAAGATCCTGAATAGCCAAAGCAACCTTGAAAAAGCAAAGCGAAGCTGGAGGCATAATAATTCTAGAGTTCAAGTTATATTACAAAGCTGTAGTCATCAAGAGAGTATGGTACTGGCACAAAAATGGACAAATAGATCAATAGGACAGAATAGAAAATTCCAGAAATAAACCTAGAGTTATATGGTTAATTAATCTTCGACAAAACAAGGGAGGATATCCAAAGGGAAAAAGACAGTCTCTTCAACAAATGGTGTTGGGAAAATCAGACGACAATGTGCAAAAGAATGAAACCGGACCACTTTCTTACACCATGCACAAAAATTAACTCAAAATAAAGACCTAAATATGAGACCTGAAACCATAAAAATCCTGGAAGAGAACATAGGCAGTGATTGCTCTTACATCCACCATAACATTTTTCTATATTTATTCCCCAATGCAGGGAAAACAAAAGCAAAAATAAACTAACTCCTGGGACTACATCAAAATAAAAAGCTTCTGCAGAGAGAAGGAAACAACCAACAAAACTAAAAGGCAACCTACAGAATAGGAGAAGGTATTTGCAAATCATATATCTGATAAAGGGTTAATATCCAAAATCTGTAAAGAACTTCTCAAACTCCACACCCAAAAAACAAATAATCCAGTGAAGAAATGGGCAAAAGACATGAATAGACACTTCTCCAAAGAAGACATCCAGACGGCCAACCGACACATGAAAAAATGCTCACATCACTCATCATCAGGGAAATGCAAATCAAAACCACAGTGAGATACCACCTTATACCTGTCAGAATGGCTCACATTAACAACTCAGGCAACAACAGATGTTGGTGAGGATGCAGAGAAAGAGGATCTCTTTTGCATTGTTGGTGGCAATGCAAACTGGTGTAGCTACTCTGAAAAACAGTGTGGAGGTTCCTCAAAAAGTTAAAAATAGAACTACCCTACGATCCAGCTGTTGCATTGTTAGATACTTACCCAAAGGATATAAAAATACTAATTCAAAGGGATATGTGCACCCCAATGTTTATAGCAGCATTACTTAAAACAGCAAATTTTGGAAAGAGCCCAAACGTCCATCGACTGATCAAGAAGGGGTGTGTGTGTGTGTGTGTGTGTGTGTGTGTGTGTGTAGATACAGAGATAGACAGATAGATATATGCATATAACGGAATATTACTCAGCCTTTGAAAAGACTGAAATCTTATAAAGACATGGATGGAACTAGAGAGTATTATGCTAAGTAAAATTAGTCAAAGACAAATACCATACGGCTTTACTCACATGCGGAATTTAAAAACTAAAACAAACGAGTAAAGGGGAAAAAGGAGAGAGAGGCAAACCAAGAAACAGACTCTTAACTACAGAGAACTAACTGACGGTCACCAGAGGGGAGGTGGGTGGGGGGAGGGGGAAACAGGTGATGGGGATCAAGGAGGGCACTTGAGATGAGCACCAGGTGATAAACATAAAAACTGGAAAAATCAAAAATTAAAAGAAAATAATGAAACTGCAAACTCGGGAGAGAACAGAATAACGCACATGGTTTGGTAGCTGTGAGATAAGCAGGGAATTAAGAACAGGGTCTGGAATGGACCACGGGAGTCACGCGCACTCGGCAGGGCTGGGCGCACCGGCCAGAGTCTGCAGGTGGAGCCGGCAAGGGGACGCCCCTCCGGCCAACACAGCCTCGTAGAGCGAGGAGGGTCTGGGCCACGTGCGGAGCACCTGCAGAGACCAGAATTCACACCAAAGGCACACAGGCGAAAATGGAGTGGACACACCCAACCACCGGCCTCTCAGCCAACGGAAACTCTGCATCCCAGGCTTTGCTTTCTGGACACGAGCCACCAGCCACCACCAGACACACTCAGGGTCTTGGAGATGCTGCCGCAAACACCTCGCAGGAGGTAAACCAATCAGCATCGTCAGCAGACACGCCGGCAATAACAAGGAAAAGGAAGTCCGGTCGAGACTCCGGCGACGCACAGCACCCCAGGGAGGGATATAAAAGCCCTTGGCCCGGAGCACCTCGCCCTCGCACCTGCCACACACACCCCCGTCCAGCTCAGCTCCCAGCACAAAACTCCAGCATGGCTGACCCCTGCTACTCTAGGACTTGTGTTATTGCCGCGTCCACCCTGTCCGTCTGCTCCAGTGACCTGAGCCGTGGCAGCCGCGTCTGCTCACCCAGTGCTTGCACTGGATCCTCCTGGCAGGTGGACAGTTGCCAGGAGAGCTGCTGCGAGCCCCCGAGCTGCGCCCCGGCCCCCTGCCTGACCCTCCTGTGCGGCCCCTCCTCCCCCTGCCAGGGAGACTGCTGCACCCCTGCGTGCTGCAAGCCCGTCTGCTGCACCCCTAGTGCTCTTATGAGTCTGTGCTGCACCCCTGTGTGCTGCAAGCCCGTGTGCTGCACTCTGTGGTAAGCTCAGTGGCTGCAAACCCCGTGTGCTGCACCCCTGTCTGCAAGCCCGTCTGCTGCACCCCTGCATGCTGCAAGCCCGTCTGCTGCACCCCTGTGTGCTGTGAGGACTCCCCCTGCTCACGCCCCTCCTGCTGCCAGCCCGGCCAGACTCCTCGCTGCAGATCTCCTCTGCCTTGTCCCGTGTCCCAGGCCGCCTGTCTGCTGCACCCCTGTGTGCTGCAAGCCTGTCTGCTGCACCCCTGTGTGCTGCGAGGACTCCCCCTGCACAACCTCTTCATGCTGCCAGCCCGCCTGCTGCACCTCCTCCCCCTGCCAGGAAGACTGCTGCACCCCCGTGCACTGCAAGCCTGCAGGCAGTTAACACTTGTCTGCTGCAAGCCCGTCTGCTGCGCCCTCAGGTGTTAACAGGCCTGTCTGCACCCTGTCTGTTGCAGGCCCGTTAACGCACTCTGTCTGCTGGGACTCCCCTGCTCACCCCCCTCCTGTTGCCAGCCCAGCCCCTGCTGCAGACCCTCCTCCTGCGTGTCCCTGCTCTGCCGCCCCGTGTGCAGGCCTGCCTGCTGTGCCCCTGCCTCCTCCTGCTACCGCCCAGCCTCCTGCGTGTCCCTGCTCTGCCGCCCCGCGTGCCCCAACCCTGCCTGCTGCGGCCCCGCCTCAGGCCAGTCCTGCTGCTGATGGGCACGTCCCCCCAAGGCCAGCTGGGCTCAGGTCCCACCTGGTGACTGTGGTCCTCCCAGCCACCCCTCAGTCAGTCCTGACCTGTGTTAGGTGGCTGCCCCCACCCAGGACGGGGTCCTCCATGTGTCCACTCTCCTGACCTGACCTTGACCTCCTGCCTCCCAGGAACACTGACCCCGTGGCTTCCTGGAGCTTCTGCTCCCAGGGGGCACCTGCACCTGTTCTGGGTCACCTGTCCTTCCCTCCTCCTTTCTCTGCTCAGGTCACTTGACCTCGACTCCTAACCTGTCAGTACCTCCTTGGGTACCCCAATAAACTCACTTCGCCAGCTGATCTGCTTCCTTCCATCTGACCCTCCGGGTGCGGGGACCCCAGGGTTTTACCCAGACACGGTCTCTTCCAGCCACAAACATTTCTAGGAACGAGGGACTGAGCAGTCCCAGAGGCGGGCCTAACTCCTGTGGGCAGGGCCACGGGTGGGACTCACGCCCTGGCCCAGGAAGCTCCGTGCCTGTGGGCCCAGTGCCTAGGGCTTCCCAGGCTGGTCACCTGCACACGGGTCGTGGCCTGGCCCGTTTCCACCCACTGCCCCATCCGGGCAAACCGGGCCCAGACAAGCAGGCCTGGGGGCTCCAGGCTCACATCCTCTACGGGCCTGGGGTCGCCCTGTGGTCCTCCCGAGGGCTCTACCCATTTAGCAGAAAGGTGATGGAGCGGGGCAGACGGTGCTCCAACCTCTCATGGAAATCGACTAGGTTTGAAACAAAGTATGAGGGTGAGTGGCAGGACTCCCAGATGGTCCCGGGCCAGACTCTGGGGCCACCATCTGGTAGGTCTAGGCTCCGCCCGGGGGGCTATGAGGGACACGGAGTCATGGTGCAGGGCCCTCCCTGTGAACTGAGGACCCTGTCAGGCCACGATGTACCGAGTGCTGTAGGTGACAGTCCGCTCTGATGTCAGGGTGACATTGGCCGCACATGAGGGCACCTGCTGACAAGGGCGGGGATATGTAGTGAGGTCACCCACCACGGTGGCCGGGATCGTCCCACCCCAGCCCCTGCCCCCACCCTAGGAACACTTGTCCTGAGTGGTTTGCACACGTGACCTGTGATTCTGCGGGCTTCTCTCCAGTCTCTGGAGCCGTGCCAGCCCAGCTGGTGAAGACCCTTCCAGTATCTGTCCACACCAACCAGGGTCTTGTGCTTCTGGCTCAGGCCCCTTGCCTCCGTCCATCCAGCCGTGTAGACCCCTTGCAGGTGTGCTAATAAACTCCCATGCCCCAGTTTGCTGATCCCGTCTGGTATGCGTCTCCTGCCCGGGCCCTCTGGGCTCTCCTGTCGCTTCCGTAAGGCGCACGGTCTTGAACGCTCTGAGCCCACCTGCCATTCCGTGGATGTATTCACAAGAAGCAGTGGCCCGGCCCAGCCCTTCTCTGGGCCTCACAGCTGTAGGCACCAGGAGGCCTCGGGAGCTAATCTCACTGTGGTCGCTGCTCTCAGACCTCTTCACGCCCCTCACGATGAGGAAGCTGAGGCCACACACAGGATGACCAGCCCCGTCCAGGCGGTGCTCCGGCTGCTGCCTTTGGGGGAGAACTTCGTAGACGTGAACTTTGCCTTGCGGCAGAACTCCTTTTCTGTGACAGAAGCGTCTCTTGGCCCCAGGATGATGTTTGTCTGCACGTTTACACGTCACGGGAGACATGGGATTCTGGGTCTGAGTGACATGGCCCAAGTGGCCAAGTGGCGTGGATGGTACACACCCAAAGGGCCACCCTGCTACCGGCTGTCATAGGGCCCGCTCTCCGATCACCCGAGGGCACCTGCCAGTCTTTGCCCACGGGGCAGTTCCTGGCTGCCACGGCTGGTCCAAGCCTGGCCCACACCTGAGCAGGGGTGGCTGTCCCCACCGACCACCAGGTGGGCTCTGTCATGTGCTTTGTGCTGCAGCTGGGACAGTCCTGAGACAAAGAGTGGTCATGGTGGCTGGGAAGGTACCAGAAGGCTACAGGCTAAACAGGGTGTCGGGGGCCCCGCTGGCAGAGGGGGACTGAGAAGCATATGCCCAACAGCCCAAAACAGACCAGACTGCTCTCACACTCAGGGTCAGGGCCCTGGGTGAGGGTGCAAACGCAGCCTTGCCCTCCTCTTCCCAGCCCCGCACTGCTCCTCACAAGCCCCGTCCACCAGCCCTCGGGCCCCTGGGGCCTTGGGGAGTGCACCCTGGGCACACCATGGAAGGACCCATGTGTGCCCTTGGCAGGCCTGGGGACACCTGGGTGGGCATCTGGGGGGTTGGCACTGAAGTGAGCATACTCTGGAAGGGGGTCACTGGCTCTGGCCAGACACTGCTACTGGCCCCGGGACCCCTCACCCCGGAGGCAGGGGGTTGAGACAGCTGGAGGGGAGCTGAGCAGGGTCCCCTGGAACTGGGGCCAGGCCCGAAGGTAGTGCTGAGGGCAGTTTCTGACCCACCCCCTGAGCCGTGGCTAAGGCTCTCCACGTAGTAGGCACAGAATGCTCTAGAAGCCTGCAGCTTCTATCCAAAGCCAGAAGAGCTCTCCTACTTGGAGAACCGGTCTCCAAGCACACATATTCATAACAGCCAGAGGAGCGTCCCACAGAGAGATGCTCCCGGGACAAAGTTGGGAAAACACAGCAGAGAGGCACCCGTGTGGCTGGCTGCCATGACGCCATTTAAGGGCCGCCCAAGGAAGGGGCCTCCAGACTGGCCCCGACCTCCACGCTGACCTCCCTCCAGCCCCCAGCCCCCACGTGCCACACCAGCGGCTCCACAGGCTGCCAGCCAGCTCCCCCCAAGACCTTGGGCTGTGTCCCTGCTCGCCGCCCTCTCCCCCGGGGTCGTGGGAGCTCCTGCAGCCCAGCCGGCCACGCGCCCATGAGCTTCCCCTCAGGGTCCTGCCCATCTCACTTAAGCCGTCGCCTGTAGGACCCTACTTACTGCTGACCCCCAAGGCCACCCTCGACTCAGGAAGAAGCCACACCAGCCTTTCCCTTTCGCAGCCAGTGAATCCATCATCGTGAACTCCTTCCAGGCCTGAGCCAGCCACACCTGCAGCCCCCCCAGAAAATGCCCCCAAAGTGTCCCCAGGATGCCCTGAAAGGCAGACACCATGGACCCTCCTGGGCGTTCAGGGCCTGACAGGCGAGGAGCTGACTCCCTCAGCCCCACACAACCCCAGGGTCAGGCAGGCCATGCAACTCCCCGTCTGAAGAATAACCCCCAGCGAATCCTCACATGTCTGACACCCTCTCCCTCTGTGTCCTGTGGCTGTTCTGCTGACGAAGAGACCCACAGCTCATCTGGGAATGGGGGCTCAGGGGAGGCACGTGACCATCAGCCAGCGCCCAAGGGCCTCTGCCACTCTTCTCTGGGGCTTAGATCGCCACCTCTGGGGGACCGGGGGCTCTTGCACGTGACACTCGGCAGCCGTGTCTACCTCGGGCCATCGCTCTGCTGTCCGGCCACCATCACAGGTATGAAGATTTGCTCTTGGGGAAATCTGTGGGCACCACCTGGGCTGGGAACAAAGACACCACCACCCCCCGTGGGTAGAAGCAGCTCCGTCCCACAGGGGGTGGGCACAGGTGCGGGCTGTCCCACAGGGGAGGGGGGAGCCCACGTTCTTCTATCTTTGCCAACTTGATAGAGAATAATACCTTCTCGCTGTTCCTTTTTGCCTAGACATATAGCCTCCCAAAGTATGGATATGCCATTTTATTTATGCAGAAACAGGGGCGCCTCGGGGGCTCAGTCGGTTGGGCATCCGACTCTGGATTTCCACTCAGGTCATGATCTCAGGGCTGTGGGATCAAGCCCCACGTCAGGCTCCACACTGAGCGTGGAGACTGCTTGGGATTCTCTCTCTGCCTCTGCCCCTCTCTCCTGCTCTCTCTCTCTCTCTCTCTCTCTCTCAAAAGAGTCTGTTATTTTTGCAGAAACAGGAGAACAGGCATCTAAAGTCTCTCTCCTTTTGATTATTACAAACAGCGCACTGTGAGGTCCTCACCACTTGCCTGTGTGCACTGGCGTGCGTTTTCACACCTAAATTCCAAAGTGGCTTCCAGGTCAGAGCGTTTGCCAATTTTAAATCCTGAGAGATGTCAACAAGTGCCCTCAAAAGGACTTTTGAAAAGTGTGCCTACTGAGAGTGATGTCAGAAAAGACCGGGAATAGAGAACTCTAAGGGCCCGCTCCCTAGCCCCAGACACTGAAGAAACTGGCAAAGCTGTGGGAGTCAATTTCATCTGAATCATCTGGTTTACAACAACCAAGGGAATGCTTCATCACGACAAAAGCGACTGCAGCCTGGTGGACTTGGTCCCGGTGAGGGGCCTGGTGCTGGAGGGAGAGAGCGGGCCCATTCCCCTGTTCTACCAGAAGGGTGGTTGTCTGTGCAGTGGCCTCTGGAGGCGCCCACACCAAAGGCTTGGCTTTCTTTCTCCTAACTCGGAACTCTTTCAAGGCAGAGAAGCAGCTACACAGAGTGTCTGTCAACTTAACCCCTTGCCGCCTGGGGAAAGGGTATCAGTTGTGGCAAACAGAAGACACCCCAAAACACCGAGGACAGCAAGCCTGGGGAATGAAATTCTTGGGGGAATAGGGCTTTCAATGCTTCTACAGATGGCCGCGAGTCCAGAAGACCCCACCCATGCCCACGAGGGGCCCGTGCTCAGAAAGGACCTGAGAAGGCCCCACGCACTCACTGCTGGCTGCACATCCCGCTCTGAAAGGCAGGAAGTGGAGGTGAAGAGCTGTAAACGCCCAGCCCAGGGTTGTGGGCATGGCCCAACACACAAGCAGAGCCCAGCCACAAAGACTGGACACAAATATTGTTTGGTTCCAGGTGTTCAAGGAACTCTCTGCCAAACCACTATCTGACCACTAAGCTAATGGAACAGCGACCACACCTGACAAAGAGTATAGTTGTTACAAAATGGTTTAGAAGGTTCACTAAACAAAACACAATGACAGGT